ATATGTTACATAAAAATATGTTATTGCCCTAATCGATCACCGTCTCAAATTCTACAAGTATATAACAAATTTCAAAAAGCATAATACAAACGCTTTTTTTATTGTGGTATGTAAAGATAGAATTCCACATTAACAGGATAAGCGGTTTTAATGACACTTTCTAAATTCACAATTTTTTTGTAGAAAAAAAATATATTTTCATTTTTATAAAAAAAAGAGTATTCTTCATATTGTATGCAAGCATAATAATAATGAAAATACTGTGTTTTTTCTATTAAAAAAGAAAAATTACACAAAAGCAAATTCAAAATAAACAGAATATATGTCATTAAAAATAAAAATACTAGAGACGATTCCACAACATTCGTGATGTTAATTTCTATAATTTGTTCCTAACCTCTATAAATGAAGCTAAACGTTTATTATTGAAAATTGACAGATAATGCACATATTACATTATGCTTCATTTTGACATTGTATTATCGCATATAAAAGTACCTAACACAAATCACAGATAACAAAAGCGCAGAGCTACTGCACTGCGGACTGTTCAAATCCGTTCTTTATCCTTCCAGCGGCAAGATTAACTGTGTTACTTGCAGCATTCCAGAGAGAATTATCTACAACCAAATTAAATAGCGCTGTATCAACGCCTGAAGGATTAATAAGTGCTGAATAGTCAACAGGAATATAGACGTAAAATGAAAATACTAAACAATCAACCGCTACACTATTTAATTTAGATTTATTGTACCTACGTTTTATATAATACCTTTGGTTCATACCATATAGCATTTAAAAACAATTAAATTAATCACAATTATTTCTTTTACAGTGGTTCATTTATTTTATAAGTTCGGGGTGTTAGAGTGATTTAAGAAGAACTAGAAAAAAACTAATGTGAAACCATATTTTTTAGAAAAAGTCGCGTAAACTTAACCTCCTGTAGACGACACGCATAAACAAAATTACTTATTTGTAGAAGCATATTTCCTCAAATAAAATATATCATCGTTGCTTAGTATCAAATAATTAGGTCAACCGAAAAAACAAAAACTAAGTTGTAAATAAATCATAACATAATCAAATGATTGTTTGTTGAATTTCACGCATAGTACGCCACAGATACCAAAATCCGCTACCATTCACAGATGTATTGCTGCAGTGTATTGGACATGTAGATAATAGCTCTCCCAAGCAATTATTCAGTACTCCGGCGTCCATCGCTGACGAACGATAGATTATATGGGACAAACATGGCTGAATACAGGTATTCCTTTGGCAGTCGACCACCGAACAAAATGGCGGCGCTGCTGCCCACAGATAAATACCTGGAAAATCCGCGCCAAAAGTCAAAACGATTCGTTTGTCTATGTTTTTCTTTTATTTCGCACATACCCATCAAAAGTTTAACGCAAAACGAAAACAGTGAATTCGGTTCCACGTCGCTGTGAATACACAATAAATTATTTCACACCAAATATACACGTCGAAAGATCGGAGTTTCAGTTGCTGCAACGTAAATTTTACATCTATCAGATGGTATTAGAACGGATTTTCAATTGGCACAGTAAATATTTGAGCTACCAGAGTTCTGCTGGTGGTGATTCAATTAAATACTAAACTAAACTCAGTTGTGTACAGTGTTCGGCAACTCGCAACGGTGCCGCTTCATGCGATAATTGACAATAATGGCGGACAGCGTTAATGGCGGTTTAAACGCAGCAATCGGAGCGCGGAATCCCTGGAGACGTCGGTAATTGCTGGCGAACCATTCACACACATTTACCGTTGATATTTAAACGATTTGTTCACTTACATATTTTAATAGTAATAAATAATTATTATTACTATTATTTTTCTGATGGCCTCGGTGGTTTTAGCACACCGCCTTACTTCCGATTATCGCGGATTGGATTCCTCGCATAGCATAAAGATTTGAATTCATGAGTATAATAGTTTATATCGGCTGGGTGTTTTCTATTTATAATATCTATGTATCTGAATCAGTTATCTAGTACACATAACACAAACCTTAGCTAGATTAACTTTGGTCTAGGTGGCGCTGCGTGCATTGTTCTGATATTTTATAATGATCAGTGCAATTCTTTTTAAAATTCCTTTAATCAACGCCTGTATTTGCATATGATACAATGAAGCCGGTATATTAATAGAGAAAATACTTGAAAAAGGACTTGATTTTCAAAATTTTTCGTGGAACGACAAATTTGAAAATAATAAATTCGAATTTTAAACTTATTCAATTTTCGACATCTGTGGAGTTCCAATATAAATAATCTGTAGTACACGTTAATAAGAGAGACAGAAATATTTTAATCACATATGAGTATATATACCAGTCTATGCGTGGTCCTACTTGTACGGAACACAGTACAATATATATTTTTATATATGAGTATAAATTACTCATTCAGCAGCATGTAACATCAAGTACTCACAACGGGACCTATCTTTTATTTTATCATCCGCGTATATTATCAATTATTTAATTATATGTATGATTATCAACAAAGTGTAAATCCCCATGTTTTTGATCCTTCGAGCCGGATGGAATGCCGATAGAAAAGAATGTGCAACTACAAACAATAATTGAGACGTGCTTAATGTTATGATTTCCGAATATCTTCTAGCAAGTTTAAGCAACTTCAAGATATTTTACAGTTACCTTACTAACTTGTACGCCATATTTGAGTTGGGCCCTAGCTAAGGTTAGGTTGACAAACCTATGTACTTCTTTCTAATACACCCATCCCACTCCAATTATCATCCTCACATGGCAGTTTGATAACTCTAATAAATAGGACCAACTCCTATCGTAAGCTCTTTTGGAGACATTGATCATAACATCATCATCACTTTTAAAATACATAGATTAGACTACTTCTATAAAAAGTCTCTTTCCAAGAATATTTCTATACCGAAAAGGAAAAGGTCTTAACCTGTATTCCTAAGGTTTACGGGAATTATGGGCAAAAAGCTTTCGAGTGATCCAGAGCAGTGTTTTTCAATCTGTGGGTCGCGACCCTTAGGGTAGTCGCGAAACCTTACTCGGGTGGTCGTCGGCTGAATTAAAAAGTCGAAGTTCATATATCAAAGTCGCCGGCGCCGACACAGTGTGGCCCGCGTGAATAATAGATAAATGTACCAAAATAAAATCAATTTTTTACCTAACTAACGTATATAGGCTTTCAATTAAATTATTTCTTTGGTTTTCTATGACACAAGGGGGTTGCCAGAATACTTTAACCTGTAAACGGATCGCGAAATAATAAAGATTGAAAAACACTGATCCAGAGTATTAGAAAGACGGTACTGCCTAAATTCAGCACGCCTTAGCCTCCAAAAACGTTTACCTCATTCACAACTAAAAGCCGTACATCCCGACAGCAAACAACCTAAGTCTTTTCAATTTTCTGATGTATTTTTGCTATAAAATAAAACCAATAGAGTCGAACCAATTATAGACTCGGTCCAGTCTGATGTATCGACAATTTTCTTTTGTATCCCGCTCAAAATTATAACCACAAGGGAAATCGGGCTGTGTGCCTTCGATCGTGATAATTGTGAAGCTAGCTTATTCGATTGTACGCTTTTGATATAGGTAGCCTAAAGAGATTTATTCCAGTAGTCCAGATATAGGAATAGGTAATTATTTTACCATATATATGCTTCAGTAACGTTACTAATTGAAAACTTACGATATAAGGAATTTAATTAATCAATTCTGTATTTTGAAGGCTAAAGGATACGATAAACTTTACACGTGTTTATAGACATTTGAATGGTAGGTACTATTTTGTTAGTGGAATGTAATAATCAGTCGCCCAGTGGTAGAAATTCAACCATAATTAGATATATAATAAGACTGTATACAAATAATATTAAAAATAAACAATATTAATCTATTCTCAATTTGATCACAGACTTTAACAATAAACAAAAGAGAATATATGGCTACTATAAAAGTTTAGGCACCGTGTATTGTAAATAACTTACATATCATCAATTATGTATCACAACATCCAACATTGACAAATAAAATTAATACTAGCTGGGCTCGCGGTTTCATCCGCGTGAAATTTATAGCCTATATGTTATTCTGATGTAAAATCTATATAATTATAGTGTTATTACAATCCATTCAGTAGTTTTTGCGTGAAAGAGTAACACATCCATCCACACTCACAAACTTCCGCGTTTATATTATTAGTAAGAATATTTAATATCAATATCAAAAAGAAGTTCTTTTTTACGGCCTGTACTATATCTGGCAACAGTACTAAAAGAGAAACTATAATAATTACCATTTTATCTGTCTGCAGACAATTTCCGTACTCAATCTCGTAGACAAAAGGCAGATTAGTGAGGACACGGCCCGGATGACGCGTATTTAATAATTCAACAGGACCCGGAATGTTGCCATCTTGTATTCGGGCCAAAGTTTATGAATGGCTTAATGGCACATATATTGGTTGTGCTGGCAAACTGCCGGACTAAGTGAGAGGTTCCGGGAGCTATTAAATGTCTTTTTCCAGGTCTTACATTCTTACAAATTGTATATTATCATTTAAGTTTGCTTTTATAATATATGTAATAAATCCTGATGACCGTCATCCACGCCGTCAATTGTTTAAGTGACGGAAAAGGTATCAATCCCAGTTACTAGAAAATATGTAAGTGTTTTTTTTTTGCCTTAATACTGAAAATGTTGGTACTTCTATATGAAAGAGTTTCGAGTTGGTTACACTTAGATTATAAAATAAAAAACTGGAGGTAGTTTCTTATTTAGTATTATTATTTTGATCGTTCATCGTTCTTAACGAAGATAATACTAAGCCTTCCTATTAATTGGTCAAACGGTCATGACACACCTTTCTGTCTCACTGCGATAAATTTGTAGTCATCACTCATATCATATCACATTTCAAATTATATAAATTCATTTTATATAAATATTAAATTAAAAATATAAACTCTCAACTAAAATAATTTTGAAACTTAACACCAGAGTTACATATAATCGGGCAATTTAATACTGCCCATTTTTTTTATATCTTTAGCTTTAAAGTTCCCTCCAAACATCCTCTACAAGGATCCTGGGCATCAGTCGGTAATGCGTTTTAATTTACACAACGCCATTTAAACTTCAGAATGGCATCTTAGAGTAATTTTCACAGTCATTACACCATACAAATGCAAAGCAATAAGTAACATACAGTAGAGTAGATCCGGTAATGGGTGTGTTTTGTGCAAATCGCCATCTTTTCTTTCCCACGCTTTCGGCCATGTTGCTAGACGACCGGACGGCGTCATGGCGGCGCCTCGTTCGGAAACGCGGGTCGGGTGCGTTCACCAACTCTCACTTGAGACTCAATGGACCGTGAACGCGTGCGAGGACTTTATTTAACTTCGAACGATGGAGTTATACTGTAAAAAAATATTATTTTCTGTTTTTTGTGTTCGGACTGATATTACCATGGTAATGGAAAAATTGAATTAATGTAAGAAATAATGTTTACTTTATTATCGAGCACATTGAATTCAAATTATCAAAGAAAAATGTAGATGATGTTCATACGGCATTCCAGTCGCGTTCATGTAGATATACTACTATGTTTTTAAACCATGCCATTCCGAAGGATGGAGCATCATGCTGCGTGTTATGTAATTTCACTCATCTACCACCAGCCAAAACGAAACAGCTTACAAAGCAAACTGCTTGGCAACTGAGATACCCACGCAGATAACTTCGTACAAAGTCTACGTCAGCAACTAGAAAGTAGACAATAAAATGAAGTCTGACTCAAACGTTTGCATGTGCCAACTTTTGATAGGCGGGAAAAACACTTATTACAGAAATATATGGATCGGTAATGGGTGCTCTAATATGTTTGTTTACTGCATACATAAGTGAGTAGGCGGAAGGCATTGAAACGATGTGCATTTATCGTTTTTTTGTCACTCGTTCATATTCATGACCTCATTAGTTACAATCATTTTCGCTTCTTTTTCAAAATGATTTCTTGTTGTCTTAAGAATGTTATACCCTAGTGATTTAGTGTCGCAACGTTGATTGAAAGGTCCTAGGTTCAAATCTGTACGAAAGTAAAGAAATCGTTACGTGTCAACTCATATTTCTCACTGAAACTCTGGTAATATAATACATTACCACGAGAGGACAATGGCATGCCTTACCCTCCTGAAATGTCACAGCCATATGGTATATGACAGGGTTGATATCACCCCCATAAAACCAAAATACAATGCTTATATAACTAATCGAATTAGATGTTATTTTGCGTTTTTAGAGCTAAGTATATTAAGTTAGATTTTTTCATTAAAAACATAATTATTATTTATATATTTATTTTATAATAAGCTTTTTGTAAAGAAAGTGTTTTATATTAAAATCTTACACACATCCCATAAAACGAATTACTTTCTTCTTACGGCATTTAATTAAAAGCAGTTTACCTTAACCACCTTATTGTAACTATGCATGTGTGCCCCCCACACATGCATAGTTACAATAAGTTGTTAGTATTGGGGTCTAGTATCCCCATTGCTAGCAATGTACCATGTAAGGTCCACCTATACGCGGTTCCCATTGGAAACTACCGTTGTTAATTCCTAGTTATTTAATCACGATGGGCAAACTTACCTGACCTCGTTTTCATTTTATCATCCTCCACTGGTGCCCCGCCAGCGTAAACCACTAGCGGAAACGGGTGGACCATTCCATTATCATCCAATAAAAAAACTATACATCTGTTCTTTATATTTTTTATATCTTTTCTTTACTGTATTTTAGAAATAAAGTATATTGTATCTATCCATAAGAGCTAAGCTTGGAGTTTCTCTAAGGGATCAAATCCGAAACGAAGTAATTCGACAGAGAACTAAGGTCACTGACTCTCTTCGTATTTGCAAGATAAAGTGGCAAAGGGCCGGTCATCTGTCGCAGAACCGATGCTCGCCGGAGTAGACGTGTTCTAGAGTGGAGACCGCGAATTGGCAAACGTAGTGTAGGACGCCCCGCAGCTAGGTGGAGTGACGATATACGTAGGGTTGCGGGTAGTAACTAGATGAGAAGAGCTGAAGATCGTGCCCATTGGCGTGCCTTGGGAGAGGCCTATGTCCAGCAGTGGACTGAACTGGGCTGATGATGATGTATCTATCCATTGTTAGCTTCAGTACATAAAGAACACTCAGTTGAGTAATTTGTTATTACATTTCAAATTTAGAACCATAGTCAGTCACATGATATTGACGACTCCGGTGGTCTAGCGGTCTAGCACACCGCTTTACGTCCGATGGTCGCCGGTTCGATTCCTCGCACGGCACAAGCATTTGTATTCATGAGTATGATTGTTTGTATCGGTCTGGCTATTTTCTATGTATAATATGTATGTATTTACGAAAAATATTATCTATGTGTTTGTATCAGTTGTCTAGTACCCATAACACAAGCTTTAGCTAGCTTAACTTGGGTCTAGATGGCGCTGTGTGAATTGTCCTGAGATTATTATATATTATTATATTATATATTATATTATTATATTGGTGACGTCACTATCATGCCGCCACCAATAGACGTAAAGAGGAAGGGAACAAGGAGGGGCGGCGTTCTTTCTGTTCGAGGCAACCGAGACGATCAGACGTGAAATACAGCAACGCAATTTATGTGGAGTGTAATTTGAAAAAGGAATAAAAATCAACTGCTGTAGTGACGTAACATTTCTGAAACTTCCCAATACTGGCTAAATACCGTTTGACGAAAATAATACGGCATATATGTATACCTAATAGATGTGCCCGCGACTTCGTCCGTGTGTTATAGTGACGTTGACCAAATAAAGAAATAATATTGTTAGGGTTCACATCGATATTGTCGAAAAATATGATATTTAATATTAAAAGAATTCTGAATGTCATATTCATTTATACTTAATCAACTGCCTAAAAAATTAGTTGCTTGAAACTTATTTTTCTAGCTTTAAATATGACAATGCTTCCATACATACTTTCATGTACCTTTTCAACCCCTTACAACCCTTTTTTGGCTTAAAAAAGTAGCCTATGACCTTTTTCAGTCTAGACTATGTGTACCAAATTTCATTTGAATCGGTTGAGTGTTTTTAGCATGAAAGCGAGACAGACAGACAGAGTTATTTTAGCATTTATAATATTAGTCAGGATTAGAAAAAAGAGATCTCTAGTACCATTACCGAGCAGTTAACCCATGGCATAGCGTCTAACGCCTGCGTACCTAAAGATACGTACTACTTTAATTAAAATCGCTCCCGTCCAATTAGTAGCCTATTTTATGTACACTAAATAAGGCACGTAACGGCTGGCAGGGTATATACACGGTGTAAACAATGGGATCTAATATTCGCCTCTTGGGTCCGGAACACCGGAATTTAAGGTTATATTTCTTAAGCGAGTTTTTTTAATAGTGCGTTTTAGGTAAATGCGTAGACTATTTGATTTCAAATCTTCAGAAATGAGGTAGGTATTATTATATTTATCTTATACCTATATAAAATCATTGTGTCACAATATTAGTTACCATACTCCTCCGAAACGTCTTGACCGATTTTTTTGAAATTTTATATGCATATTCAGTAGGTCTGAGAATCGGCTACTCTTTATTTTTCATACGCCTAAGTATTAAAGGTTGTCCAGCCCTAAATATTTACCATCAGAACATCGGAAGTAAAGCGGTCTGCTAAACAGGTCCTATAAAATCTAACTTGCTCCTCCGCTGGCTCAGAATCCTACGTACGTATACCTAAACGTCTATGATACCACAGATTAATACTTAAAAATGGCCAAGAAATAAAAATAGAAAGAATCTTTATCCAAATAAATTTAATATATAAGCATGTTTGTTATGTAATAGTCATATTTTATGATTCTATCACACATTCAGAACGTAAAGTCATCACAAGAAGAATGAGCAAGTAACTTCCGTGTTGCTATTTTTAATAAATCTTATTAAGAATTACTCTGTCTCTCTCTCTCTCTGCCTAGCCACTTCCCATTTCATTTGGGGTCAGGTTTCCTAGTTCTTCTTCGCCAGGCACATCTCTCCTGGGTCATCGAGTCGAGAATAATTACATTTTTAAAAATTTGTGTGAAAACATACTACTAAGTAGCAAAGTTGATATAAAAAAATAGTCATTTGAGTAGCAAAGTAAAGGAGTTTCTTCTCGCGTCCCCTTAGATGATGCAATGCCTGCCTACCTGCCGAGGTTTTCTCGAGAGACTACAGCATGCAGGCAAGGATTTATATTAAGGTTTCTTAATATTCGGTAACGCGTACTTGACACCCTTGGTGTTTCTAGCGTCCATAGTCTACGGTGACCGTTTACCTTCAGATGAGCCGTACATATTTGGCATCTACGTAGAATAAAAAGAAAAAACTAAATAAATCAATCAATCGTTGTTGCCGATGGCAACCTTTTTGATAGTTTTTATGTTTTTTATATATATTTGAATTTTATATTTTGACGTTCTGTTTTTATATACCGTTTGTTTTCTTATGCCATATTGTCTTTATATCTTTGCTAGCGAGCTGATTACACTTATTTTACCTCACCTAGGAACGTGTCTCATTTTAAACCAGCCTTAATACAGTAGTCATCAGAGCAGGCTTGTCTCTGGAAGTATTAAAAGCACCTTTTAATTATTTAATGGTGGTACATTTAGAGCGCGCGAGTTTATGAACTCAGAAGGAACGTTTATACAAACAATCGCTTAGAATTCTGAACAATAACGCCTGCAACTATTGTGGCCGCAACGGTTTGTGTGCGCGGCCGCGATTCCACCTCGATTTCAATGGCGAGCTCCGTTTCATTTGATGAAGTGATATTATTGCAATGTTTGTCTGTATATAGAGTCATGTGGGGCAAGTGTGCGCACTTAAGGTTTGAAGTATCATATAATAAAATATTTGAAGTTAACTGGAACAAAACAAGGTTTATTATATAAAATATTTAATAATCAACAACTTAAACGCAAAATAAATAATTATCATTTACACAAATTCTTTGGAAATCAACAAAATCAAAACTGTTTAAATGCGCACACTTACCCAAGTATAGGGGTAAGTGTGCGCAGTAGGGTAAGTGTACGCAACATGTAACATACAGTAAATAGAGTCAGACTCATATGATAAACCAGAAAATAGACATCCTCAACCTAATAATACATCAGTTCAAATAATTCCTTTTCAAAGTTATTGCATTGTTCATGCCATCCAGTCTTCATTCGGTGGAAATATGTATTTTTCTCCACACAGTGGGCAAAATAATTCCTGCTCATCATTTTATTTATTTTCAGATCAAGTCGTATCTTCTTTTTTGGCAATTTATTCTTCCTCTTGTTTTTTGTTTTTCCAATTCTACTTTATAAGGACTTAC